CATATTTTCTATCGGCTATTTCTGTGTTGTATTATTTATTTAAAATATTTTCACGAACGTAACCACAGCTCATGACGTTTAAGTGATTTTCTAAGAGCTTAAAAACGAGATATTTTAATGTTAAAACGTGCCAAGAATATTTCATTTCGTTAAAACTATATATTTTTAAATGTTTTGTAATAGTATTAGATCCTAATAACCTTATAACGAGTAACTAACATTTGAAACAATTTCAAGGGCAAGTATAATGTAGTTATTGTTACGCTCTAATGAGCTTACCAAATTTAAAGTGTCATGTTCAGCAAGAAGGAGGGGGAAAAATTAATTTCCTGAGTAGAAAAAATTGATTATGTAAAATAACTGAGCGATGATTATAACCAACATTGTATTTTTTTTTTATGAATCATATTTTGCGAATAAATAACGCTACAAACTTGTCAGTCAAAATGAATCAGCAAAATAAACAGTTTTATTAATATTTTAAGCGTCATTCATTATATATAACAATATACGAACAATATGTAAACATAAAACAATACATTGCAAATGTAAATAAAGCAAAACACAGGCCGTTATTTGAATTAATAATACAACAATTCAAATTCATATTCTCGAAATCAAGTAGTAACGACAAAAATTTAATTGATTAGTGTTGCCAACAGCGATCAAATTAAAAAAATGCAAAAATAGCTAAAATGCTACATTAATATTGAAAAAAGTTTTCTATATTTAGCTAGAAAAAAACGGAAAAATAGCTAAATTTCTATATTTGCAAAAAAAAAATATAATTTTTTATTATTATAAAATAGATAAATTGGCAACATTGATCTCGATCCGTGTCCAAGAAAAAGAAAATAATAACAATTTGCGCTATGTTATCAACAGAGGGCGTCGTTTAGTCAGCTGATAATGATGTAGTTTGACGTGTGCTAGTATTGTGAGTAGCCGTCTGGAAAAATGTTACGGATTTCATTAGTCGTATTCCGATAAAAAAAAAAAAATTCCTCGGATGGTCATAAATTTTTCCTCATTAAAATTAATGAAAGGATGCAGAAGAGCACCGGCGAATCTCTTTGGAGCGGATTGGCCGCTAAATCGCGAAGTACAACATTAATTTCTCTGGAGAATAACAGAAACGATAACGATGAAGAAGAAGAGAAAACCAAGAAAACAAAAACAACATTAATGGAAGATTTAAGGACGGGTAATTATGCAAATTGGGATCCGGAAAAATGCATCAAGCTATTAAGATCTCCCAGTATACAGAATTACACCGGATTGAGGAAACTATTTTCTCAGTGCAAATCACAATGGATGATAGAATTTATGGAATTAGATGGATTGGAAGTTTTATTGGAAAGTTTGGAAGTATTGAGCAGGCGAAACTGTGGAAATGTGAAATTTTCCGACGCTCTGCTGCAGTTGGAGTGTGTCGAGTGCGTTCGAGCAGTTATAAATTCCAAACATGGACTCGAATATATCGTCAGAAGGCCCGATTACACTAGGAAATTAGCTAAAGGTTTGTAACGATATACCTTTTTTTTTTTTTTTTTTACTCCAATATCTGATATCGAACGTATGTGTAGGCAATACATATTTATCTATAATTACTAAATAATCGTATCAGCAACACATGTAATGATATGAATATTTTGTAGTTTGTCTTTATTCTCCAATTACCGATTTAATAGAAAAATGCAATAACAATTTTTAATTTTATTTTCCTATTAACTAAACAGATGTGTATTCTACCTACAAGCTGTATAAAGTTTTATCATTACTTATAATTATGAATATGCCTGTTAAATATTAGAAATAAGTACTTTTTCCTACTAGAAAGGTTTATTTTTGATGATGAATCGAGATGAGTAAGCTCTCTACCTACTCACTGGCGTGCTGCAATTAATTATAAAACTAACAATTGTTTTAATGCTTTAATTTTAAAACTAAATCATAGAAATTTATACAAATTTTGCCTGTGTTTTAAAGTACACATCTACCAAATCATGCTGACGTTAGAAATTCTATTGATTCATTCTTAGATTTTTTATTTAGTACTGTATTAAGTAATTTGCTGTATTTTAAATATTTTGTTAATTAATACCTAGTTATATGATACAATTCAAAAGGCACATTAGGGAGAGGAAGCGGACATACAAGCCTGGAATTAACTAAAAATTTATGTAAATAAGCCTTTTTTTTAGATCCACTTACAAAAACCAATTTCCGGATGACGCTTTGATACGTCACCGAATTGGTCTATTTATGTCATACAAGCATTATCGGTTCCGTTTTGTTAATTATTATCATTGGATATTTAGCTTTTAGTTTAATAAATTCTAACAATATCAAAAACTGCGGTCGTTAAACTTCATCTATTGGTTAGAAATCGAAAATGGTTAGAAGCAACGAGATAAAAACCAGTTTTTTTCTTTCTCTGCCTCGGCGATTCGGAACAAGGTCATTACATTTATTCGAAAGGGTGGTTACGAGATTATTATGTAATTCTAATATTTAAATTTTCTGCTAAATATAAATTATATTATCTTACCTTAATTTCTACATTTTTCCCTTCGTACTTTAGATTTGTTGGAGTGAATTCTATTGCCTGGCAAATTTGATTATACACTATAGGCCTATACATCTTAAATTATCAGATTTCATTATAAGTTAACCTGTTATTGAAATACTTCTCGAACAAAAAGAAAAATACTCATTTAAATATGTTTATATATATACAGTATATAGAAGGATGTGTAACCGGATCCATGACTTTTTTATTTATACTTTCTAAAAATATCTCAATATAAAAAAAGTCAAAATAGTGCATAATTGGCTAAAGTTTTCAGTAAAAAATTCTTTTATTCCATTCGTTGATCCCCCACACAATATTTAATTAACTGAATACTCGCTCCAATTATATAAAACTAAATATTAATAATTGTTTCCTGCATTAAGTCATGACCTGTATATTTGATTCCTTTTTCTACATCTCGGATTTTTCAGGTGTAAAATACATTTAATTATTTTCTCCATTTAATTGAGTCATTATAAATTAACCCAGTTATCACAATACAAAGATACAATTGTTTTAATTGGTTTTTGTAATTGTAATCTACCAAGATATTGTAATAATTTATTTTTCATATACCTTACGTTACATAAATTTAAACACGTGATTAAGTTAAGAAAATTTACCTAAACTTCTCTGTTTTGATGCTTGCCACATAACTCTTTCGAGATCTTAATGCATTATTACACTAATACTTGGAAATAGCAAGAAGGTCAAAGTGTGTGGGTTTTTTAATTTTTACGTGGGATATTTTCTTTATCCTGTCGTAACTTGTATTAATTCGCAAGAAAAATTCCAAAACATAAAATATAAAACCTGAAAGTTCATGGAACTTTAACACATGTTAATACATCATGATCCATGTGTAATAAGGGTTACTAAAGGTCATAGATGTATTCAGAAGAGCAGAGGAATCATACGCTTCTCTTACCAATAAATAAGTCTTTTTACATTTAATTTTTCTTTCTGATATGTATTTTTTATATGTATAAGACATTATTTACAAGAATAAATTAAGCTCAAACCTAATCTTGACGTCCATCTTACGATATCTGCTAGACATATCTATGATAGAAAATAATTAAGCAATGTAAAGACGTAGATCATAAACCAACTTATAAACCAAACGAAAATTAATGTAAATAATTAAAAATCTTTCATAAAAAAATGGCTGCGACAAATATCGATGACTCTTTGACTGCAGTAAAAAAAGGTTTCGTTTTAAATAATTAAAAAAAAAAATAATTTGATTAAAATATACAGCAAACATAAAGAGCAGACAATATGTCTGCTCTTCAGTTACGAAGTAATTTACTACTTAGAAAGTGCGATTAAAGTGTCACCAACATTTATCTATTGAAACAATAAGAGATTAACGGTCACTTGACCTTAATTAATTTAGTCATTTATTTAGCTTATATTATGACATTTAGAGCGAAATATCTCTTATTTATTATGTAGGCCTATATATTGTCGTATAGATTGATAAAAACTCGAACTTTGTCTTGTAAAATTTCGATTTTAATTATATTAATTCTTGCAATAACGATTTTTAAATATATATATTTGTGTAACCCTTCTCAACAGGGTTCAACACATTTACTGTGTGAATAAAATACATTAAATTTCTATTTCCAGAAAAAGCGTAAAATCAGAGTCTACTGTATCCCGATTTTGCGCTTTTTCTGGAAGAACCTCAAAACATTCCGTTATTTTATTATTATTATTATTTTTTTTTTGATAAATTAGCATTTAAACCGTTAAGTAAAAAATATGTTCAATGCAATAATTTTTTTAAAAAAATGCAGTTTGAGTGGCGTAATAAATGCGCTTCGTGTAAAAATCATTCCGAAATGTCTGCCGTTTATTTCAACATGTGTGAAGTTCGTTTCGTGCAGCTGTTAGGTGACGTCAGATTAACAATTGTTATTGTTGCCTGGTAAATGCTGTTCGTTCATTAGCTGCAGCATTTCGATTCTAAATTTAATATTTTAATTGAAATAAGAGGAAACATTTTCGCTTCAAATATTGTAGATTAAAATTTTTCTAGGAATTCTTCTATTATTTACAGAATAATAATAATATTGAAGTTTTATTAAAATTTAGCATTATATAATCAGAAAAATTCTCAATTAGATTTAAAATCTTAACCATGCCAACATATTTAGCAAGATTTTGGCCCGGGCCATGAGCAGAAAACCTTAAAAATTAGCCTTTTATGTATATTACTTTCGGAGAATAGTCAACTCCACTTCCTCACCTGTCTTCCCCCTCTTCACGAATACATACGTATTGTACAGTACATCTACACAAACTAAATCTGATTTTAAAAATTTATAGTTAAAGAAAAACATTTTTTAAATGCTTAAAACTAATATCTTTACCGAACTTAATAAAATAATATCACACTAAATATATGTTGTCACGAGTTCGCACCCGACTAACGAGCTAAGTGCCTAGTTTCGAGTTGGGTGAGTACACCAACGTCTAGACCTGGTCTAGACTCTACCCTGAGCGAGCATTAGTTCTAAATTATGCCGCTGCGGTAAACAGCGACAATACTTGTAACTCGATTTGTGGTATTTTCTGGTCATAATTACAAACTATGAACGTGTCAGTAGCAATGCAAACGTGTTGGGAGTGTCACGTGGTGTCTGGTACCATGCGACATAGTACGTTCGCGTTTGCTAATCATATGACTCGAGATTAGGCACACTGGCCACGTGTAGTTTCCGTGTTTTCTTCACCTGCCTAACACTTAAATAAGTTACGCTATCTGCGTAATTGTGAGAGAATATTATTATACATCTATAAAAACAGATAAATAACATATCATTACATTAAATGTGAACTTATATATTTCATTTTTATTTTTACTGTTATTTTCTTATAGATTTAAATTGTGTTTTATTATTATTAATGTGGGGTGGCTTATTTTATTTAAACAAGCTTTTATATTACTATAAAAATGGTTTTAAATTTCGACTACACTCGAGGCACGATACGCGAGTCCACTCCATCTATTCATCCCTCGACCTTTAAACCTTTTGGATAAAAACCACCAAAATTTAATAGTATCAATACCCCTTTAATTAAACAAACCTCTCTGCGAAATTTCAGAAATTATCGACAAAGGACACAGGAGTAAGCTTCAAATTGGATGAACAAAATTGTTCCCCTCTCCAATATACGAATATTCATACATACAGAGAAAAACCCCGAATTTCTAGACGTTTCAAGGTCCCCTCAAACCAAAAATGTAGAAATCTTGGTTGGGAAATTAAATTTTTGTGGTTAAAGGTCGAAGTGGCGGGGAGATAAAGGGGGTCGTGTGTCGTATCTCGCGAAGGGTCGGACTTAATGACGATTTTGCTAGCATTTACAATTTTTTTTCTAAAACCCATCCCTGTATTCTGAGATCTGTATTTCATGATGAAAGTAATGAAAAAAGTCCTCACGATTTAATTTTTTTGGGAGTTTTCAAGCAATTTGATAGGGCAAGACACCTCAACGTGTATCAAATGCTAGGCATTTTGCATTATTTTTCTTCCATTTGATCTCAATATCAAATTCGAGTGCTAAGATTTAATTTAAATAATTTATGATAAATTATTTTTAGCAACTCTTTTCTAATAATTGTTTTTTAATTGATCATTTTTCCAGCTTTAGATAACAGAAACACAATGGTAAAGAAGCAGGTGTTCGAATTGCTATCTGCTATATGCGTTTACGCAGAAAAAGGTCATGCCTTGGCTCTCGATGCTTTAGAATCTTATAAGGTACGCTTTGAATTAAGTTAGATTGAATTTTTATTGATGTGACTATTATGTATTCGTATAATACGGTCAAACACTCCGATATAATGCCACTCTCGTAAATGGATCGTCTCATAAATTTTAAACAGAGATTACTTCAGTATCTGAGAGTTACTAAATTCAAGATTGCCATTACGTGTGTATTTGCCATTAGTTTATATAATAAAATAATTTTTTTTTCATATTTAGATTACAAAAAATCAAAGGTATAGATTCAGCTTTCTTCTACAAGAACTGAAAGGTTCGGAAGTTCTGTCATATTCAGCCACACTTCTGGGTTTCATTAACTGTATTATTATTGGAACCAATGAGTTGAGAAAGCGAATTAAAATACGAAATGAAATGATTAGTTTGGGTTTATTAGAACTAATAAGTTCTTTGAGGTACGTGGATGATGATGATGTATTCATCCAATGCCATGTTTTTGATACTTCCAAACACGCGGATGACGAACACGAAGAAAGTCTTGGTATTAAATCGACGTCTAGTCATTACGATATCTTTGAATCTGTTTTAAAAAAGGTAAGCTTAAATATAATTCTCTTTTAAATTAAAGTATTAAAATTAATTGAAGAATTTCCAGTGATTTTTAATTTTAAAATTATAACAAAGGAGAGTCGGTTAGATTCTTTTTGAAGATCATCTTTAGAAACTTTCCTCGGAAACCGTTTAACCGATTAAAATCGTTTTTCCACGCAAATAGAATCCATCTCGGTCTAAGTCATGAAGCAAACAACAATTTAAAATTCGACCCGTGACCGGAGATATACAAGGTCAAATTTCACAATGTTAAGTCTATGGGCGAGAGGAGAGAGAGGTGTCAAGTCCACACGGTCATATCTAATTAAATTTTAATAAAATTAGTTATAAAAATTCCTTCATAACACCGTATTGTTACTNATTCTAGACTAATTCGACTTAACATTTCCAAAATATATTTTTTGGAAAAATTTTTTTGGGAAAAATCTGTATAAACTATGCTATAAACAAAAAAATGTAGGATTACTTACCGAGTGTGCACCGTTCGACGTCGCCATTGCTTAAGCTTGTGTTCGTCGCGGAGCAGCGCACCAAATGGCGGCCGCGATTTCTGATGATATTTTTCTGCGAAAAATTCGTTGAACTTTAGAGACATCATTAATAGAAATAATTTTTATGGCCGTTGAATAAGAAATGTTTCTTTCACAAGAAATGTATAAAATTACAGTGCTGTATTAGACTTACGGTACCTAATTTACATACTGTACAGATGATAGTAAACTCAACTTACTCNCGAATTTCTAGACGTTTCAAGGTCCCCTCAAACCAAAAATGTAGAAATCTTGGTTGGGAAATTAAATTTTTGTGGTTAAAGGTCGAAGTGGCGGGGAGATAAAGGGGGTCGTGTGTCGTATCTCGCGAAGGGTCGGACTTAATGACGATTTTGCTAGCATTTACAATTTTTTTTCTAAAACCCATCCCTGTATTCTGAGATCTGTATTTCATGATGAAAGTAATGAAAAAAGTCCTCACGATTTAATTTTTTTGGGAGTTTTCAAGCAATTTGATAGGGCAAGACACCTCAACGTGTATCAAATGCTAGGCATTTTGCATTATTTTTCTTCCATTTGATCTCAATATCAAATTCGAGTGCTAAGATTTAATTTAAATAATTTATGATAAATTATTTTTAGCAACTCTTTTCTAATAATTGTTTTTTAATTGATCATTTTTCCAGCTTTAGATAACAGAAACACAATGGTAAAGAAGCAGGTGTTCGAATTGCTATCTGCTATATGCGTTTACGCAGAAAAAGGTCATGCCTTGGCTCTCGATGCTTTAGAATCTTATAAGGTACGCTTTGAATTAAGTTAGATTGAATTTTTATTGATGTGACTATTATGTATTCGTATAATACGGTCAAACACTCCGATATAATGCCACTCTCGTAAATGGATCGTCTCATAAATTTTAAACAGAGATTACTTCAGTATCTGAGAGTTACTAAATTCAAGATTGCCATTACGTGTGTATTTGCCATTAGTTTATATAATAAAATAATTTTTTTTTCATATTTAGATTACAAAAAATCAAAGGTATAGATTCAGCTTTCTTCTACAAGAACTGAAAGGTTCGGAAGTTCTGTCATATTCAGCCACACTTCTGGGTTTCATTAACTGTATTATTATTGGAACCAATGAGTTGAGAAAGCGAATTAAAATACGAAATGAAATGATTAGTTTGGGTTTATTAGAACTAATAAGTTCTTTGAGGTACGTGGATGATGATGATGTATTCATCCAATGCCATGTTTTTGATACTTCCAAACACGCGGATGACGAACACGAAGAAAGTCTTGGTATTAAATCGACGTCTAGTCATTACGATATCTTTGAATCTGTTTTAAAAAAGGTAAGCTTAAATATAATTCTCTTTTAAATTAAAGTACAGTATTAAAATTAATTGAAGAATTTCCAGTGATTTTTAATTTTAAAATTATAACAAAGGAGAGTCGGTTAGATTCTTTTTGAAGATCATCTTTAGAAACTTTCCTCGGAAACCGTTTAACCGATTAAAATCGTTTTTCCACGCAAATAGAATCCATCTCGGTCTAAGTCATGAAGCAAACAACAATTTAAAATTCGACCCGTGACCGGAGATATACAAGGTCAAATTTCACAATGTTAAGTCTATGGGCGAGAGGAGAGAGAGGTGTCAAGTCCACACGGGCATATCTAATTAAATTTTAATAAAATTAGTTATAAAAATTCCTTCATAACACCGTATTGTTACTTGATAAATTGCTAAAACGCCTTAAAAATGTATTTTTAAAACAATACAGGAAATATAAATACAATTTGTTTTTATAATTTCGGAAATACAGTATTGCTATAATTTGCTTATGAATCAGAGCTAGTAATAATTTTGATTATAAATATTAAAAATACAAAAAGAAAATCTATTAAACTACAGTTTAAACATTAATTTAATATTAAAATTTACATGGTTTCTACAACTCATAAAATTAAAAAAAAATAAATAAATATTTTTTCCATTATTGTATGTAATAATATAGAAAAACGCCATTGAAATATTTTTATTTATTAAATTTTAGATGTATATTATTGTTTTTAAGCTGTTGTAACGTTGCAAATATTTTCGAATAATTAAATAAAATATTTGTATTATTTATCGATAGTATAATTAAAATCTTTATTACAATACTTTCTATTCTTTAAACTATAAAATTCTAATTGTTAAGTATTTTTCATTTGATTTTAGGTGCAAGATACTCCACATTATTTTTCATTTCTTATTCTATTACAAAATTTGGATAATTTAGATCCAAAATATGAAGAAAGGTGAGTTTACTTAAATTATTATCTTTTAAAACTTTTTCTATTTGCCATTTAAACTGTATTTTCAGTGATGAAGCATGGAATCTTTTAGAATCGATCTCCAGCAATTACGTAAAAAAGATGGAACATTTCGGTAGCAAACACATTCAAAATTCTTGTATGGAATCTTATCTTGCTGATCTTGACACCGATGTGGAAAGTATAATGTCTGAAGATTCTGGTCATCCGATATCCAGATCCGAATCTATCAACAGTCATTACAATGTTGAAAACAATGAAAGATTACCCGTCGTCTCAGAAAATAGTTACATAAGAAAGAAAAGAGCGTGTCTGAATTTTATTAACACACTTTCTTCCTCGAAAGAATCTAGTGAAAAAGAATGTGACAACCCGAGTCTTGATGCCTCATCAGTTACAGATGTTGAATCACTTTCAGAAAATTTGTTACCGTTCTCTCATCATGAATCGGAATCTTCTGAAACCTTTCACTCACTTCCTCCTATTTCTCTTTCTACTCCATCATTACCACCACCACCACCACCACCACCACCACCTCCTCCTCCTCCTGGTCTTATTCCTCCCCCTCCACCACCTCCTCCTCTTCCTGGTCTTCCTCTCCCTCCGCCGCCACCACCCCCACCACCCCCTCCACCTTTACCAAATTTTGAAAAATGTATATCATCATCATCATCACCTTCTTTTTCGTGTCATTCTGCATCTGGATCTTCAGAACAGTTTTCTCATCAAGGAAATTTAATTCAATCAACTACCGGAAATTATACTCTCCAATCACTTCCTGCTTATTTACAACCAGGTTCTTCTCATACATTCCCAAAACCGAATAAAAAAATGAAGATCTTGAATTGGTCCAAAATTCCATCAGCTAACGTCATTGGTACGAAAAATTATAATTATTACAATTTAGAATAGTTTTAAATTAAAACAAAAATCTACTGATTATATATCAATTAAAATTCGAACTTTCAGTGATAAACTATCGTAAATAAGCGCACAATTTTGTACGATAGACTATCACTAAAGATTCAAATTAACGATTGTTTAAAGAATATTTATCATCATTATTATTCAAAAGTTAACCAAAGATCTACTTATGAAACTATGCAAAATATTTAGAGAGGATTTTTTCGATTTTAGTGACAATTGTTGCTAATAGCATCTCTGGTAACAATTAAAGACCTTGAGGAAGAACGTGATTTCAATATAAAATATACTCAATTAATATTTAATTAAGCAATTTAAATTATTATTATTATTATTAGGGCAATCAATATGGAATGAACTATATCAGGAATCAAGCAATGTTCATCTTAACTTTGAACAAGTAGAAGAATTGTTTTGTCAAAAGTCGACAAGTAAACCTTTGATTAATGAGAAAAAGAAGTTAAATAAAAACGCTTCTGAGGTAAAAATTAAAAAAGGATTATATATAATTAAATTTTAATAGAAAAATGTTACAGTAATTATTTTATTTATTAGGTAAATTTGCTAGATCCAAAAAGAAGTCTGAACATTAATATATTTTTGAAGCAATTCAAAGGAGGAGAAAAACAACTGGTGGAATTGATTCAAAATTGTCAATCTACAAAAATAGGATCTGAGAGATTGAGAACATTGATTAAAATTTTGCCCGCCTGCAATGAAGTAAGTGTAAAAAATTGATTTTTTAAACTGTTTTAATTAATATATAATTGACTTTTTTTTTTCATTTTTACAATACTGTATTATATTATATTAATTACACGTATAAGTCGTGGTGGTGTAATCAGATCTTCCATAATTATATTTTATATAGAAAATTAGATTATATTAACTTTTCCTAATAAGTTTTCCAATTTAGAGTGGTTTTAACTCGAATCCAATTCCTCACGTATGCGAATGATTCCATTGTGTTGATCGTCGGGTGGTGACCGAGACGATCGAAGAATTAACCCATTTTACTATGGGGTCCGGGCCGAGAATCTAAGTTTTCATAGGCTACCTTACTCGACGTGTCTGGTCCCGTCTTTTACTACTCGGCTACCCCATTGCAGCCTGGTCGAACCAATGATAAATATGACTATAAAGGCTTAATGTCCAAAAGAAGGGCCGTTGAGAATTTTTATAAAGCTGAGGGTACAGCGAGTCACCCTGCCTTTAGCTGCTGGTCCTTTTTTGTTTTGTATTGTTTGAAAAAATGAAAAATGTAGAAAGCTTTTTTATTGATAAAAGCAATCTTGAAAGTTTATTTTTGTTAATTTTTAGGGGATGAAACTACTGAGCCCTAAGTTTTCTTCAGGCCCAGGGAAAATTCTCCAATTCCCCTCCCTCTCGACGATCATGGCCAAAGAGCAAAAAATTCATAAATAAAAAAAAACTATTTCATTATGTTTTGATCCATTCGTAATGAACTAATTAAAGACAACAATATAAAATGTTAAAAATTGAAATTTGCTTAAGTAAACCTAATGCCACTTAGTTTCAGCCCTAAATATTTATAAAGAATAACTTAAATTTTTTTTTTTTGAATTTAGTTAAATTCACAATATATTGATATATATTGTATTTTTTTTTCCTAGTTGATTTCTGTGAAAGAATACAACGGTGACAAAACCAGATTGGGAATAGCAGAGAAATTTTATTTACTTCTATCCGAAGTGAAAGCCTACAAAACAAGAATTCAAGGAATGATACAAATAGAAGAATTTCAACCAAGTGTGGACGTTCTCAAACCTCAAATAAAGCATTACCTAGAAACTTGCGAGACGATTCTCAACAACAAATCTCTTAAAGATTTCTTTAAAATCATTTTGGTTACCGGAAACTTCTTAAATTCCGTGAGAACATTTTTTAAATTCGATTTAGGCCTATATATTTAATGAATTTAAAATAATAATAATAATCGAAGATATTTCGTTGTTTAGGGAAGTTACGCTGGAAATGCTTTTGGATTTCGATTGAATACTTTGGGGAAATTAATGGAAACGAGAGCCAACAAACCACGAATGACATTGTTGCATTATTTAGTGGATGTTGCTGAGAAAGAAGATCAGGAGATGCTGAATTTCACAAACGATCTTCAGTTTTTGTCAGAATGTTCCAAGTGAGTCATATTGAATAATTTTGTTTTTAAACTGTTTCCACTCTGGGTACTAAGAGGTCCTCTTTCAGCGAGCCCATTATACGTTCAACCAGGTCCATAATGGGGCGGTCAGATGGTGAGGGACGGGGCCCACATGTCCGGACGGCCCACTCCCTGAAAAATTCCTGGAGATTTCTCCACCCGTCTGGATTCAATTCCCTGTCCCCTTTAGCGGTAGGATGACACCTTGACTACTCGGTCATCCGGCCGTCTGTCATAATGAATATGATGCCATATGGAATTTTTTTGAATAGTCGGGTATATCGATTCTTCATCCCTCACCACCCAGTCTTTTCCACCGTGGGCGCGAGTGAATAAAACACTGGTCGCAGGTTCGCGCCTGATCAACGAGCTGGCTAATTGGCGTTTTCCAGGTTTTCTTTACATATCTAACAACTAAATATAGACTAGTTTGGCTCAGAAAGTTCTTCCTGAGGCATCCCCTCCATACACAGTTCATTTGTTGAGTCGACATCTCATCAAACCAAACCCCATCGTAGGCCTGTCCGAACCCACAAGGAATATGATTAAATCCAAGCCTCTGAAGACCCACAGATCGAAACGACAGAAAAATAAAACTGCATTATATATATACGAGAGCGGTTTTTCAAGCTCCGATGGTCCATAAAAAAGACAAGTGTAAATAACAAAATGAATTTATTACCAAAAGTTAGGTACAAACATGATTACTTTTCGACATAATCACCGTGAAGATTGAGGCATTTGTCATATCTGTGGAAGAGCTTTTCCATCCCCTTGTAATAGAATTAGGTTAGGTTGTTATTTACACTTATATGTATATACATATTAAATAAAATTAATAAGTTACGTTGGTCTTTTGTAAAATATTAAAAATAACTCTACTGAAGTATTGGTTATATCCTGAGACTATATTCAATATATAAAATTTAAGAAAATGAATTTTCATAAGTTCATTGAAAAAAAAAACTTTAACTTCTATATGAAATTGCTTTTAATTAACACAGTATTAATTAAAATATAAATTGAAATTATCGAGAAGAATTTTATTTTAACACATTTTTCCACTTTCGATTTCGTAGATCTGTTAAGTTCTGATAGGAAAAAGATAAGGAGACAACAGGCTTTTCCTCCTCGATAATTCCCACGTAATTTACGATAAGATCTTTCAAATATTCAGAAAGAAAATTAAATAATGTTTTAAACATTATTTTTTTCATTTTAGTCAGTAAAAAGTTCTTAATTTAAACAGTTACTTACTAATAACTTTAAAACTTCGTATCGCATGTGCACATAATTGATTTTATTTATTGTTATTGAATATTAACATTTTTGTGTTTTAAAAATAGGAAATATGTTTTTATTTTAAATGATTTTAGTTTGTGGTTTGAGATAATTAATTGGATTGGATAGTGTTGTACGCATATTTAAGGTACATCGAGCACCTTTAGTAGGCCTACGTATAAATGTGTATAGAGCCTGCAATATTTCATGTCTATATGTATAGTACAACACAATAAGTAGCACATAAGAATGAAACTATTAGTGCAAAATTCGCTGTTAAAAAGACATAATTGTTATTTCAGACAGGAACATAACTGCTAATGTCTGTCACTTCAATATAATAACAATGTTCGTTCATAGCTTCAAACAGTCAATCCATATTTCACCATTACTGTCAACACATGCTTTTGAATCGTCTCTGTCTCAGGAGCTGGAAAACATAACTTTTTAAAGTACCCTGTATATAATCTTTAATTAATTACTTTTTTTTTATCGAACATTGTTGCTATTCTTGCCTTTCTTGAATCTTGAATTTCAAAATTTATACAGTAGATTCCCTATAACGCGGCAGATACGTTCCTCGTTATACGAATTTCGCGTTGTAGGAATCCTTAAATGCATGAGCCAATCGCAGCCCGACACGTGTGAAGTTTACGGACTACGGCTGTTTGAAAGGTTTTCTTCCATAAAATTAATCGATTCTAGACTAATTCGACTTAACATTTCCAAAATATATTTTTTGGAAAAATTTTTTTGGGAAAAATCTGTATAAACTATGCTATAAACAAAAAAATGTAGGATTACTTACCGAGTGTGCACCGTTCGACGTCGCCATTGCTTAAGCTTGTGTTCGTCGCGGAGCAGCGCACCAAATGGCGGCCGCGATTTCTGATGATATTTTTCTGCGAAAAATTCGTTGAACTTTAGAGACATCATTAATAGAAATAATTTTTATGGCCGTTGAATAAGAAATGTTTCTTTCACAAGAAATGTATAAAATTACAGTGCTGTATTAGACTTACGGTACCTAATTTACATACTGTACAGATGATAGTAAACTTAACTTACTCGACTAAACTCTCCGTAGCGTGGCGCTGGACGGCGGAAAGAAGTTCGGCTGCTCGTCCGCGATGACGAGTTGGCGATGACGTTTTACCGCGTTTTACGAGTACCTTTTAGCGTCTTTATACGAATACCGTCGCAATTTTTTTGCCGCGTTATAGGAATCTACGTTATAGGAACCCGCGTTATAGGGGGGTCTACTGTATACAGTACCTATTTCACTGTTAAACGATCTCGAATATGCTAATGCATTTTCTTATTGGTTTCTTTTATTGCACGAATAGAGCAACACCATTCTCATATGGATTTAAAATTTTAAAAATAATAAATTTCTTATGAAATCCATAAAAATATTGAAGAGTGCCCTATATTAACACACAAGATTTCTAATTCGAATACTTCTAGAAATCATATAACTTAACTGAATGATTTCAAAATACTGTATATTAGTTTAAATAATTAGCTATCGGGTGTGCCAAACACCTGATATCTAATTATTTAAACTTTATCAGAAAATCTTGTGGCACCCCTACAAGTTTATTTCAACATAAGGAGTCAGACTATAGCACTGGGGGATTCGAAATCGAAACCGGGCGGTTGAGAAACCCCAACAATGTTTTTGGGGATGATATGTCGAGTCCTGTTCTTCATCCTATATGCCCATTATGGGCCTGGCCGAATCTACAATGAAACTAAAAAAAAGGCTTTAATGCCTAAAGAGCAGAGAGTTTCAAAAAAGTCCAACGTCTTGTAGTATTGTAAATGTTATCTAGACAATGTTTTTTTTTTCAAATTGATTTCTTTTAATTTATATTTAAATTTGTTCCCTAGATTATCGGTAGAAGGATTAACAATTGAAGTAAAACAGTTGAAATCAGGATTAGAAGAACTCGACACTCAAATTCAGAAAAACGATCCCAGTTTAAACGAATACTTCGGCGATTTTATTAAGGTGAACGTTAAAAATGATAAATAGTTAATTATTAAAATTGCTATAATGAAATTAAATCTCTTCCTCGTGTTTTGTAGAAAGCTAGAGAACAAGTGAATGAACTTCAAAGCGGTATCGAGGAAATTGGACGTTATTCAATTCGTTTGGCTCAACATTTTTGCGAGAACGAATCGAGATTTAAAGTGGAAGATTGTCTCAGCATTTTTAATAATTTCTGCCAGAAAATCGAAACTGCAAAAAAAGTAAGTTTTAATATTTATTTATACAATAGAAATGTAGAAAATTTCATTCGAATTATTCCAGGAAAATGAAGATCGAAGACGACAGGAAGCGAGAACGGAGAGATTGAAGAAGGAGCGAAAAGATGATCCGAAAATTAAGAAAGGTAAATTCTATATTGATTACATTAGATTCTAACATACAGGGTCATACGAAAAAGAATGTTAATATTTAAATTAGTGTAATTTTCATTTTGGAAGATCCTATACGTATATATAATATATAATACAATTATTTTTAGATTGTAGTATCCAAGAAGAAAAAGCCAAAGATGAATCTGCAAAGAAAAAAGGAAGAAGAGGTACGTCATCAAAACAATAAAATCTTAATTACAGGATTAAGTCTATTGCTAAATTAAACTTTTGAATAATTTTTTCCCTAACAAAGTATTGCTTAAATATTAATAAGAGTAACTTAAAATGAAACTATTGTTTATCCTCTGTTAAAACTCTTCTCAACAGATTACAAGTCTCAGTCTCATCCATTCAGTGGACTATTTCGTTTTCGAGAATTTTTCAGAAAATAAATTCACGTATGCACACTAACATTTTTTTTTTTAAAGTTGGCATTGGTACTTTGGTTCTTGGTCGATGGTCTGCATGCTAACGCTTCGCATTTCCTCCTCCTCTTCACTATTAATTAATATCTGTTATTAATTAAATGCTGTTCTTTGTATAAGGAATATCCAATGGCTCGGGCTCCATTACAAATATGAAGTATGGCTATTATATGAATTATAATCACTATGTATTACGTCTTAGTATTCATGGCCGTTGCGATTCCACTGTAGGCACTTCGTCACAGCACTTTACTAGGCGACTTCTTTACTAATTTCCTCCAAATTCTGTTGAACTCGAAAACAGTTTCGGGTGAATTAGATTTTTATTGTTTTCTGGCCACAGATACGAATAGAAAGAATTTGGGCTCTCACGACAAATAAAACCAAGCCAAGTAGGGATCTTTGGTTAAGGCTCTTAGAAAAATTACACTAAAATCATACAAAAACTGTACAAAAACAAACTGAGTCCAGTGCTGGCATGCATGCAGTATTAGTCTTCCAAAAAGAAAGTCTTCTTTTCTTTTTGGAAGACTAATACTGCATGCATGCCAGCACTGGACTCAGTTTGTTTTTGTACAGTTTTTGTATGATTTGGGCTCTTTTGCAGAGAGCCCAAAATCTTCTATTCTGCGTGTTTGTGGTACATGGGACGTTTTATTCTTTCAAGCAAAATTAAGTTTATGGTGGAGATAATTTGCACTTTTTGCACAATGGCCAGAACAAGATTTCCTCGATTTTATGACGATTAGTTATGAGATTAACCTCGTCTTGATACATTTGTTCAGGTTCGAATCAGCGTTCACAGTCTCCTCTGCGAAGTGTAATTGCGAGTGTTTCCATTTGCATCCATGTCTTTTTGGATATTTAATTCTGCTCTTGAATTTGCTTTGGTAATCCATATATGGACATATATATAACATTTCTTCCTGGGTACATCTGCGGGATCATAGAGCACTTACTGTATTTTTGATCATCAGTGATAACGTCTCAGAAAAATCTATGGAAAATGCTTGCGCTAAACGATTTTTTGGCCCGGATATTCTGGTTACCAGAATAATTTGACGTACAGTATTTGTGAGGTTAGCCGATAGGGTGTAAGGTGTCACGACAGTCGAGCGGTCTTAGTCATGTGAGCATGGAAGGACTCACTGAGACAAGTTTACCCTTTAAAACCGTTTAATAGATACATAAATTTCCTTATTCAATTATATTATAAATTATTATAAATTCAATATGTCAGGCGAAACGCCTATGCAACGGTGGGCAACGTCAACAGTTCAAAAAAACGTAAAAATCCAAATGTTTCAGCGATCATTGTTTCTTTCGGCACAGGTGACGCGGAGAGCGACGGCCCCGGGGCACACACCAGAACTTGCAGAGATGTCCTCCGATGACCAGTTGTACCTGGGCGATTCTTGACGTCACGGGGTGGCGAAACCAAATCCTAAGGCGTCGAAAAAGCCGGCACTGTTGACTGATGGGAGCACAAAATCCCAGGAGAGCACTACGAACCAAGAACTCTTAATGTCCTCGAAAACACGGTTTTATAGATTTTCCAACCGTAGTCGCCCCTCCATTGGTCTCTCATCGTCACATGGTGACAATTTGAAACCCTGCGAAGGGCGCGGGAGAGGTCAACTTTGCGACCGAACACGACTCTTCTCCGGCCGCGTTTTCCTCGACTTTAATCTAGCTATTGTTTAAAATCTTTTAACAAAACAAAACTTTCATTGTTTATTTCAGATCTTTAATTTCGTTCTTTCGCGTTATGAAACGTGATTCGTTTAAAAAGCCGTTGAATGCCTTCTTTCGGATCCCGTTTGGGTCCTCACATATTCATTGTTACCTTGATATCTATCTTATCCTTTTATCCACTTTATATAACTGAGAATAGGTTCGATTTCTAGTCTATGGGTCGAACAAATGCATTCGGACATTCAACAGATACATTCTTCGGCTAAGTAGCTTCTGGTGTCGGGCTAACTAGCTTCTTATAATTTGCGTTACTTCGTTCTTCACAGAATCTTCTCTCTGGTTTTCTAGTCCTACATTCATTTTACGAAGTGTGCTGCTATGTTCAAATTTCTGCATCAAGCCGATTCATAAGATTGAACAACACGCTGAGCGAAGTATTTGGTTAGTCGTAGCCTAGTAATTCGAACACGGCTTGCTGATTGGCTATTGAATGCACAGGATGTTCATGTTCACTGGTCATTGGATCAATCTACTCACTCTTAAATGGCATGTATGAAATGAAGGCCAGGCTATTGGACATTCCTTAACATTAGTAATTTCGAGAAATTTTAAGTGTATTTTATATTCTTCGAGCTCACTTTTTTGTTCACCATTTCTCTTTTAAAATTTCTTTGGTATTCTACAAATATCAGTAGTAAATTTCACATTATTATAATTTTACGTTCTCAATTCTGGAATTTACAAGTGAATTAATATGTTAAAAATTTAATAAACTTCCAATTATTTACATTTTCAGGTCGAAGACATTCGTCTTGGGGTGCCAAAGAAGAATGTCTGATAGATATGCTCCTTGCCGATATTCGCAAAGGAGATTTTTCAGTCATGCAAGGATAAAATGTTTTCTCCATAAAAAGGTTGTGATCATTAGAAATATTTTGCAAAAAAAAATTTTAATTTATAAATTCGAAGTCACAATCGATTTTTGAAAGTCACATCGGATGTTGCAATAAGATTTTGTAATATTTTATATATTTTTCTATTAAATGCAAAAATTGTTAAATATTGGCATTTTATTGTTATCTTACATATATAACTTTAAACTTTAACAAATAACTTTCTTAAAGGCTATGATATATACAAAACAAACAACCCATTAAAAAATCTTGAAGTTTCTGCTCGTACTCGAATCAAGATCCCCAGAGCTACAGGCTAACGCCTGTACGATTAAACACAAATAAGACAATAAAAAATGTGTGTATAGTATTTCATTAACAATTTCTAAAAACTTTGTATAATGTTATAATTATTTATTCCACAACTGATATAGCCTAATGAATTGTCAGTACTAATTGATCCATAGATATTTAACATTAAAGATAGTTTACTTTCAGAATTTATGCAAACATTTCGGTGGATTGTGATTGAAGAAATCTTTGTAGTAATAATCTTCCCGCGGATAAAGTTAGATAAATCTGTATTGTTATTTCAGAAAACCCCGAAATTGTTCTAGGACTTCACAAAATCTTAACAATTCCACTATTTGTTCCAACGATGAAAGGGTTTGAAGCTTTTGTATTTGACACAAAAAGATTTACTGTCCACTTTGTTTCGAGATAGATCTCTGCAGAATGGACCGAAACTGCACGATATGAAAAATGTCAATTATCATGCTGATAGGAGCAATTCTTTAGCCAATCTCATATATGCTTTCTATTTCGTATATGCAAACGTTATGTTTTCAGCGAAGATTCTTTTTAAAATTTCTCTTTCGGAGACGTTTTGTCTGTCTTTTTTGTTCGTTTTATTTGTATGAAATACTTGATTTATTTAATAATTTGTTTGATTCCATTAAAGCATTTTCCCTTGAAGACGTTTGTTCCAAAATGGAATAAAAGCATGAATCCTATTGATTTTATCAAAGCAGTGGCGGATCATTGCTCAGGTGCAAGCGCCCGCTTGAGGCCTTTGAAATTTAGCAGCTTCAAAAAGAGAAATCTTCTGCAAACCTCGGCAGTTACCACCACCATCTATATATTGAGATTTATTCTAATTGAAACGATTGACTGATCAGCATTTTAAAATTAAGTAATAAATTGATTTGATAGCATTGCTTATTTAGAAGGGTAGCCTCAAAACTTGGGGTCTTCTCGATCCGCCACTGTATCAAAGCTTATTTTCTGTAAAATCTTAGTATAGATTTAAAATTCAAGGATAATACTTGAAGAGTGATTTGAGAGCCTAATCCTTAATGCATTAGTCAATAAAGTTACGCTCTGAAATACCCATAGAGTTCGAATCTTTTGAGGCAAAAGGCTATCTTATTCTTTTACATTGTAAGATTGGCTATTTAAACAATTAATAAAAACTAGTAAAATTTATTTAAATACTCGAGATTATTTCTTTCTGGTTGAAAGATTTCTGTGGGGATATAAAAACCAACATTGTATATTCAATACAGCAGTTGTTCAAGACTACAACACTGGGATTTTAAGTGGTTATACACTTAAAATTCCAACAAGTCATCAAAATAGAAAATTCCGATGCACTAAAATTTCTTAGGACCATTCATTAACCGTTTAATCCAAAAAATAGGTAAATAATAAAACCAGAGATAAAAATTTCATTTTATAAATTGAAATTTAATATTCATAAAAATTTATATATATTTTTACTGTCATTCTTATCTTGCTATAATTTCATTTAAACAACAAATAAATTGGAATGACAATGAAATGGAATATTTGTAAAATTAAATGCATTTATGTAAATACATTATTATATTTTGTATAATAATAGGATACCGAATAAAATTTTAAAACTGGAAAATGGTATTTTACAAACGTGATGGCGAACAATTTTATGGAATGTAATTGTTGATTTTTAATGATGTTCCTCTCCTTCTATGGTTAAATGTTCTCGTTCAAAGTTCTGGTGGTGATAAAATGAACTGTAGTTATTATTAGAATGATTAACCGTGAGAATTGGCGTGGATGATCTCGGATAAAATGGTTTTAAAACATCTTGATCCATTCTATTTTCAATAAAATGATCTGTATTTAAAAATAAATCATCTTTATCCTTTATGGCAACAAGTTTGTTGGGTTTTGGTGGCATTCTGTTCATGCCTGTGGCACCATTACGACATAATTGCTCGGCTTCATCTCTCTCATGCAATTGTTTATTAACATTTACTGTGATAGGACTATTTGCTTTAGACAAATGACAAGAACTTCCCTCTCCAAAATTTCCCGTAGAATAATTGGATCTATAAACAGTTTGAGATGCTAAAGAGAAACTCTCTCCGTCTGCCGAGTTATAATTTTCTCTCAATTTATTTGAATTTTCTAGTGAAGGAAATGATGATTCGACAGAACCACTAATGTGGCCAGAATCGATAGATGATGCTTTTAAAGGAACGTAATGTTTCTTTGCTTTATATTTAACATAATTCCTTTTATTATTTAATTCTTTGTGCAATTCTGTCTCTGTAATCTGTGATTTGTTATTTCTGTGTAATTCTATACTAGTTTTATTGATAGATGAGGCCAAATTTTGTTTTCTGTGTTCCCTAAAACTGCTGACAGAATTACTATTACTGGTTTCTGAGAAATTTACATCTGTTGTAAGGTTTACTGTATTCATTTCATCTTTATTTGGTTCTTCAATTAAACTTGTTAATTGAACATTACCATATTTAAGCTGAAATTCTAAATTATTTATTAACTTTTGCTTGCTCATCAATAACTTTTCCAGATAATCAATATGAGACTGTTTGGATAGATATTGATTCTTCAAAACCTCTTCATGTTTTTTTAATGATTTAAATTTATTTAACAATTGTTTCTGATTATCTTTACTGATGTTGATAAATGTTTTCATGTTTTTTTCTTTTTCTTTTCCTTCCTGAAGTCTCTTTTCTAATTCTTGTAACAAATCTTCCATTTCCAATGCTTTCTTCTTACACGATTGTAACAAATTACTTTTTTCGGAAGTTTGATTTATGATAAGATTCAATTTCTTTTCTACTTTTTTTAAATGAATGGCAAATCTGTTAACTAACTCTTTCTTTCCGTTTAATTCCTCCGACAACTGATCTAACTTTTGCTGGATTATTTTATGTTGTTCTTTCATGTTTTCAATTTCAGATTCTTTTTCTTTAAGTCCTTTGTCTGCATTAATTAGGGCTAATTCTTTTATAACCAAACAATTGCTAATTTCTTGAATTTCTGTATCCTTATCAGATATTCTTTGTTTCATAAAAGTTACCCAATTGAATAATAAATTACTGTCTGACAATGAAGATGAATTATTTAAAGTTTCCTGATAAAAAGAATTGAAATTTTCTAATATGTCTTCTTTTAATGTTTTCAAAAGTCCATCTTTATAACAAATTTCATTTTGTGATGTTTCTAGTTTTGACTGCAGAACAGCCACCTCTTGAGCTTTTCTGTCCGTTTCTATCCATAATTCTCTATTATAACGTTGCTCTTGCTGTAGTTCATTTTGCAAGGTATTTGCAAAAGCTGTCTCAGCAGCAAGTTCTTTTGCAAGTTTCTTCTATAATTATATTAAAAAAATTATTAACCATGCTTTACAATTAATTCTACACAACATTCTTTACAATTATATATATATATATATATAAACACAAACATTTTAGAATTTCAACAATTAATAGAAAATTTGTTAATCAGAAAAACATAAAAAAGCTTCAATTAAAGATGAAATTCCTCAAAAAATTAGTAATAAAATAGTTTTATGTTCAAAGTAAAAGAAAGACTAAAGGGAAAAAACTCAAGAGCATGTTAGGTTTAAAACAACAATAAAAAAGGCTTATAATTAATTTCTTTTTAAATATGCCAGATAAAGTTTAAAAGCTGTAAGAGAATTTAATCTTCCATTGCGAAAATCCATAGATAAGATGAAATAAAAATAGAATTTTTAAGTCACAATTCAAAGACAAATTTTATATACTGGTAAATTAAAATTATGCTACTGGTATCTTTTTTCTTTTTTTGTGTTTTCAAGCAAATTAATTTTGAAAATTATTATATCAGTATTGCTAATATTTTTACCAAATATTCTTTCTCTTCAGTAGATTTTCTTTCCTTCTTTTCTTGAAGATTCAAGTTTGTTTCTTTCATTAACTGTAATTCTGAATTCTTTAATTTTATTTCTTTTTCCAATATGTCTATCTATAAAAAATAAATAGCTGATTTACAAATGTGTCAAAAGAATTATTTCAAATCACTCAAATAGTAAGAAACATGTATTAAATAAAATTTTTTTATATAAAACTATTTGCTGTCCAATCTGTCTTCAATAATGAACTATTGGATTAAATTCTTTTAGAAATTTTTTTTGTAATAAGTTTTAAAAATATTATGTGAATTGATTTTATTCTGAAAATTTAAAATGTATAATGCCACAAATAAAAACTTGAATAGTATGGTGAAAAGATTTACTTATTGTTTTTAATGTTAAGGCATCAGATCCTAAAATAAAAGGCTGACATTTGATCATTTTTAATAGTGGAAATTTTTACCTATTGTTGTTTGTTTTTTAATAAAGTTATTTCTTCAAACCAATGTAACAGGTACTTCTGTGGCTCTGTAAAAGGATTAACGAATAAACTTGAAAATTAAATATTTTTGTAAATAGGTCAAATCTTAACTTTGAATTTAAAATATTTATTATTCACTTTGACATTAATGATATATACAGAGCATTTTTATTACACTAAAATATGATGTGTATCTATGAATTTGGAAAAAGTTTGGAAGTTAGGAGAGAGTTTGGATAAAAGTAGTGGATGGCAGGGCTGCAGAGTCAGTAAAAAAACACTCGACTCCAACTCTGGCAAAATTAAATACCAAGTCATTTTATGGGGGGCAGAGGCACTCATAGGGGTATCCTACTCTGAACTCTAAAACGAGCTCCAGGCATTTACCCAAATACTTTTATACTTAGGCTCTTTTTTTTAACCTCTGATGGGCCATTAAAAAAAAGACAAGTGTAAATAACAAAATGAATTTATTACCAAAAGTTAGGTACAAACATGGTTACTTTTCGACATAATCACTGTGAAGATTGAGGAATTTGTTATATCTGTGGACAAGCTTTTCCATTCCCTTGTCATAGAATGTTGCCGCCTTATTGAGATGGCCTTAAAAACGTTGTTTTGAAGATCGTCATTAGTCTTGAACCTCTGCCCTCCTAGCCACTTTTCCAGTTCAGGATAGAGGTGGAAGTCGCTTGGCACTAAATCAGGGCTATATACTGGGTGTTTAAAGGTGATGAAGACTTCCACCTCTTTCCTGAATTGAAAACATGGCTAGCAGGACAGTGGTTTAAGACTAATGAATTAATGACGATTTTCAAAATAATGTTGTTAAGGCCATCTCAATTCACTGGCAGCAACATTCTATGACAAGGGGATAGAAAAGCTTGTCCACAGATATGAGAAATGCCTCAATCTTCGTGGTGATTATGTCAAAAAATAACAATGTTTGTACCTAACTTTTGGTAATAAATTCATTTTGTTATTTACACTTGTCTTTGTTTTATGGATCATCGGAGCTTGAAAAATAAACTGCCCTCATAGTTAGTATTTTTAATATTCATTTGTATAAAAAAATTAATTTTTAACAAATATTTAATAAGATGAGAAAGCGGGTGTTAAAATTGTACATCTACATATATTTGACAGCATTTGCACTTCAATTTTACTCTTTTTACTTAGTTCATTTTGCAGTTTTACAGACATTTTTTATTTAAATACAAACAGTAACAAGGATCATGCATGCTGTTTACTTACTTCACAATTAATTCATTAAAGTTTTGGAGTCTGTTGGCACATATCGATTATGTTTACTACTACTAATGCAATGCTACTACAGCAGGGGTGGCCAAAACGTGGCGCATGAGCCAAACTTGGCGCATTGGATGACTACAAGTGGCGCTTAAGTCGGTTCCGAGCAACATTGCCAGATTTGGCTTCATTTCAATTATGAATATTACATAGGAAATTAATTTAAATTAATTTTTGACAGTGTGTCTTGGCAAGTGCACTTCTTACACAATTCGGAGCAATCGACCTGTTGATCTTTTTTTTTTTTTTTGCGTGTACGTTACACGATGCATTCGTGTTCATGTACCACTGGTGTCATATAGAACTATTTTATACAGGTAGCTACACTACAACCACATTTTTCATTGCTTGTTCTGTGGCGAATCTGAATTTTCGTCTTATAAATTGAAATACCTAAATAAGGGGTGGCCGAAATTTTTCTCCGCCCCGGGCTGCTAACACTCACGGTACGCCACTGCGCATGTGAACTCGTCTATCAAAAAATTGGCGCATGGTATGCAAAAGGTTGGCCACCCCTGTACTACAGGATAGTACGTAGCATTACATTAGTAGTAGTAAGCATAATTGGTATGAGCTGACAGGCTCCAAAACTTTATTTACTTCACAATTAATTCATTAAACAACATGTATAATCTTTGTTATTGTTTGAACTGTAAATAAAAAAGTCTGTAAAAACCAATAATGAAGACATCCATGTTTTTGGCAACAAATAGAATGTATCATTTAAAGTCCTGTAAACCCACCAAATTTTAACAAGCATGGCTGATGAGGGACAGATAGACTGTCTGAAATGTATACCATAGTTATAACAAAACCATGTTTGTCCATTACTGTTTGATTATCCTGAAAAATATCACTAGTGTGTGATAAGTCCTACATAAAGCCAAACCTTAGTGCTTATAAATCCAAAATCTACTTAGTTCATTTAAAATTGTGATGAAACAAGAGGAAATTTTACATTTAGATTTAAAGAACATTTAAAAGTAATTGTACAATATTTCAGAACTTTTATAAAAATATATTTTATTGACAAATTATTCAGTTAAAAAAACTTGTCATAATATTAAAGTAGGTAATTGTTCACTTCTTATTCAATTAAATTTTATGCAAAATAAAACAATCATCTTTTATAATTACAGGATTTAATCATGACAATTGTACTCATCTTTATATATCTAAATCAAATATAACTAACAATGATATAATATATTAAATAAAATTATTTGTTATATTGAATATAATTGAAGCGTGCAATGCCATAATGTTGTAAATGCCATTTTTTTCTAAATACGTTTTATTGAAGAATTGAATTCTAAATGCAATGTTTTCTGCCACAAAAGAATATTGTGGTGATATTGGCAGTGTAAATGGCTGTATTTTGAAGATAATTTATGTGAAAATATAACATTTAAAGTGCCAGAGTGCAAGTCATGTGACTTTTGGAATGTAAAATGTTGTGGCTTATACTATATTTACATCATTTTGATATTCTAGAGAATTTGTAACCCAGTGAGTCTTTTACCATTCTATTGTAAAATTTAAATGAATTCATTCATTAGAAAAAATGTTTTTTACTTCTGAATAGTTTCTTTTTTGGCATTTACAACATTATTGAATTGCATGCTTCAATTAAATAATAATGCACCTACAAAATATTCCTTAAAGAAAACTGTTGCTATGGATAGTGTTTAACTGGCACATAAAATAGAGGAAAACTTTGAAAATTGGTAAAATATTTGTTTGAGAAATAATTCTCAAACAAATATTTTACCAATTTTCTTCAGTTACAAAATTAAAACATTGAAACCATCATATAGACTTCAGATTATTAACAATATAAAGATCACTCACTGAAAAACTAAAATTTTTTGGATTCCAAATCTAACTACAAACGAAAAACAGTATTTTGCAACCTATGTAACATTTATAAGAGAATGTTTTGAGAGATCTTGAAAGTAATTTGGTTTTCAGAATTAATGATTAAAAGTAAGTACTCATAATGGAATGTTAATAAAAATAATTATGGTAATTTACTGCACAGTTTCAACATTTAGTTATTGAAGTATAAAACTCCACAAATAGATTTTAAGACAATCCTTCATACTATAATAATCATCCTAACATATAATGGTTTGTTAACCTTGAATTATATTTTTTATTAAGTATAAATACCATAAGGTGTTGTTTTAAGACTTGAATACATATAATTTATTCAAGTTTTCATGAATGATGAATAGCATGGATTAACCTAACCATTGTCATTGAATCTAACTCTTGAGTCAGCAAATCATACTTATTCAGCTTCTGACATTATGAACACAGAATTACTGAATGTTATTCAATGTGGTGAATAAGATACTGCAGTTTGTATATATTTTTCTCAAGTAATATAACCAGGATTAAATATTTTCAATGCCGTTTTTTATGCATCTTCAGATCCTCAGAATTTTCAACTTTCAAATATATGTTTGATTATGGGTTGCAAAGCTGTTGAGAGCTTTTCACAGATATTTGATACAAATGAATTTCATATAAATTCAGTTCAATTTAAGAAATAATTTTGTGTAAATTTTTTAAAATTCTTACATAAGATTCAAATTGTATCAAACATCTGTAAAAAGAAACAATGGCTTTGAATGCATAATCAAATATATGTTTGAAAGTTGAAAATTCTGAAGAGAATCTAAAAGTGGGAGAAAAATGTCCCAAAAAACATTTAATTCAGATTATATTTGACTGAAATATGTTAGTGTTGTTTATATTAATTTAACATTTATGGAGTTGAAGATATTTTGGTTAGCCAAAATTATGATTAATGATTTTCACTACCTGTGAATGATTTTATTATTATTGAAAGATTTAAAAATAATAATAAATTTATGAATTTATTATTATCTAATAAATTTTAGTGGAACCAAACTGTTAAAAATTTAAAGTCAAATTTAAAAACTGCATTTAAATAAAGTTTGTTTTGTATTTTAAATATTTCATATATGATTCTGAAATACTAAAAGTAACTTACCTTTATCATCAACTTTTCTTTTTCTTCAACCAATTCATGTATTTTCTTTTCAAATTTATTAACAACACTATCTGTAAATTCTTTTCCTTGATTTTCTAATTGTTCAACTTTAGCTCTAGAAAATATCAACATTCTTTAAAAAATAAATAAAAAATTTTTAAATTTTGTTAAAAAAGAATGAAATGATCTTATTATTATTATTAAATTTAAATAATTTTAAAAGAAATTTCTTTTTTATATTTCTCTATAAGTTCATAATTAAATATTCTAAAACAAAATTGAAAAAATAAAACCACTAATTTTTCAAACATTTTTGATTTTAATTAAGTAAAAATTTTTGTTTTTAAATTTAAAGCAACAAAAACATTTTTTCTGCTAATATTCAAAGACCAGTTCAATATAATACCAAAGATCAAAAATATGAAAAATTATTTTAAAAAGTCAAAGTGTGTCTACAATTGTATAAGCTAGAATTATCAAAAAATACATTTGTATTATGTAAAAATAAAATATGGTCTTAGAATATATCACAAATAAATTCTTCATGTCCATTTAAACATCTTATCAAGGACAAGGGAGATTTTTTTCAGTAATGCAAAAGTGTATGCATGTGATGCATTCTTGTTTTTCTTGTTCCAATGCTAAAATAACCAGTACTTAGTGCACCATTATGCTGGTACATTTGGTACCAGCATAATGGTGCACTAGCTCATTCTCAGACATACATGCATCAGTAGCTTGAAGAATGGTTTGGCAACTGATGGATAGAAGAACACAACTCTGTTCCATTATCACCATATTCCACAGACTTGACTCTTCTGGATTTTTTCTTGTATGGTGATTTAAAAACAACAGTGCATGATACTCAGCAGCACTTTGTGATGTTGGCAAACTAAAGAAGTATATACAACAAGCTTGTGAAATGGTAATGCCAGGAATGCTATATGCCATCCATAATGCCAAGCTCAACCATGTACATCTTTGTATTGCTGCTGAAGGTAGCTGTTTGGAACATGTTCTCTAACAAAATAAAGCTCAATTTTTGTAACAATTCCTGTAATGTTGTCTTTGTCGTTTACAGTCAGAGATTATTTGTATGTTATACTAGTCTTACATGCATACACTCATGCAATGCTGGAAAGATCTTTATTGTTGCCCTCTGGATATGTTTTAGTAGACACCCTATTTTTAACACAAATATAAACACTCTCAAAGGTGATATTCATCTTAAATAATTTCTCTATTTTATGCAAAGATATATGCAAATGTGTGTATTAGTAATTATTTAAACTTACTCACATCTATCTCTATTTATTACTTTGGAACTTTTATTGATTTATTTAAACAGGACAACAAATAATAAAATAAAAAATTATTTTTGTTCTAAGATAATTAAATTTTTATTTTTAATAAAAACCGCTTTTAATAAATTCTTCTTGGAGTTTTGTTTTTTAAATATTCAATAAAATTATTTGGATGATCTCAGTTCACCTATTATGTTATTTCTCAAAATACTACCGTGTTTCCCCGAAAATAAGACATCCGCAGAAAATAAGACCTAGCACAGATTTTGCTGAATTGCGAAATATAAGACCTCCCCCTGAAAGTAAGACCTAGCAAAGATTTTTTAGTGGTAACGGTCATCAAAGTACAGCCACTGATTGGTCAGCAGACAATTACG